CAGGGCCCCTGTGTTAACTCGAAGCACCTGATATATTTGCCTTCACCATTTCCAAGAAGCTAAAGCCATTTGTAGGTTTCTAAGGGAAAAAAACCCTAGCTAAAGTGGAAAAAACAAAAAACCTACAACTGGCTCACCGGGTGGAAAGGAATGGGTTAAGGGGCCACCCCTCCCAGGTCTCCCCAGAGGCCTGGGGGCACCAGGCGCAGGCCTGGCCTGGCTCAGCAGCGGCCAGATGGACAGTCAGTCAAACCAAGTGCCAGGCTTTGAGCAGAAATACCAGCGTTTTCACATGCATCCTACTAAAGAAAAAAACCTAATTAATACTAACCTGATTAACTGTTTTGGCCTGTGGGTAACCTGGAAAGCTCTAGGTAAACCTAGAAGCTAGACTCTGCATGAACAAACATGTTGGATAAATTACTAGATGATGCTTTAAAAAATAATAAAACCAAACATCTTCTAATTCGAGCCCAAGTAGGTCAGGAACGGTGGTCCCCAGAGAGTGAGTCTGTCCCCGAGAGGACGTTTGCTGACACCTGGAGACATCTCTGACCGTGGTGACCGGGGGCTGCAGGGTGCTCCTGGCCCCGAGCGGGGGAGGCAGGGGTGCTGCCCAGCATCCGACAGTGCGTGGGACCCCCCAAAGGGCTCTGAGGTTGGGAGAGAAGCCCCGGCCCGTGGGCATGACCTGGAGCCGGCCGGACATCTGCAATTCGGACAAGCCCAACAGCCCCGTGCCCTGCCGGTGCCCGGAATTTTCCTAGCACCTCCCATGGGTGAGGCAGGAGGGCGAACGTCATCTTCATTGGTCAGACGAGGACACAGGAGTGAAGGGCTAATTTATTCACCCACAGCCCCCGGCTGCTGACTGTGGGTCACTTCCCAAACCCCAGGAGTGAGAGGCACGCAGAACTCAGGTCTGGGGTTTGGAAAGGCAGGCTGTGTTATGGGTGAGTAACATTCCACGGTGGAGCAAGGCGTGGAATCCACCCGCGTGTCCATCAGCGGACGATGGCTGAAGTGGAACACTACTCAGCCACGAGAAGGAGAGGTCCCGTCATCTGCAGCAGCACGGACGGGACTGCAGGGAGGTGGAATAAGCCGTGCACAGAAGATATTAATACATGTAGGCGCTTAAAAAAATGGAGCTCCTAGAGACAGAACAGAGTGACGGTCCCGGAGGGTGGGAAGGGTAGCGAGGAGGCGGGAAGTGGGGCTGGTTAATGGGTGAAAATAGAGTGAGACGGAAGGAAGAACAGCCAGGGACAGGCGGCACCACGGGGCGGCTGCAATGAACAGCGATTATCGTATATTTCGCTATGATTGAGGCTGGACATGGAACGCTCCTAGCACAAAGGAATGACAAGCGCTTGAGGTGGTGGAGCCCCCGGTCGCCCAGCTTTGATCACTGCACGTCGTACGCTTGTATCGAAACACCACACGTTCCCCACAAACGTCTGTCATTATGCACCCGCGATAATCAAAAATTAAAGAGCAGCCTGGACACGACCACGCCCGGAACCCAGGGCTCTCCGGAGCGTGCGCAGCATCAAACCTCTCTGCGGAGCGAGGCTGGAGCCGTCACGCCGGGCGGGGCGCGTGGGTCACACGCAGCCTGGCTCCGGGCCGGCCAGGGCTTGGTTGCCAGGTGAGCAGAGAGAAAACGTGCAGATTTTAGGGTGTTTTGGACTTTAGAACTACAGATGCGGGATTTTTACACCGGTAAGGGCGAGGTGACGAATCCCAGACTGATTCGATGGAATCAGATAACACCTATTGCTGCTGCTGAGCAAAGCGCCTGCCACCTGTGCAGGGTCCTGCTGGCCTGAGAGGGACGGGGAGTTTATGTCCCCAGTGAGCTCCAAAGCCATGGACCTTCTCCTGCAGAGGGACAAAGAACAGGACTGGCTCACTGGATTGTCTCACTTTTTTGGGAGGAGGTGAGGAAGGGGTGTCGTGAGAAGTGTCCTCTCATCGCCAGACAGGCGACTTCAGTTCAGGTGAGTCGATCCCCAGGCTGCTCCCATTTCCCTCCAGTAAGAGAATTCTGGAGACCTGGTGATTCTTGGTGCCCAAAGCCATAAACACTGCATTCGGTGATGCTTCGAGACACCCCCCATCCAAGGTGCCACTTCCTAACAGAGCAGTGGTCACGAGAACTAGAATGGTCCTAAACCCCACGTGCACACAAGGATCCACTTTGGCAACATCCCCATGGGGAGCTGCAGAAACTTGCATTCCCCTCCTGGAAATGAGGCCTGATCCCTCAGGAATCCTCCGTCCCCCGGGTGGGCAGAGGGGCTCACAGTGGCAGCACCCGGAGGAAGCACCGGCCACCCCGGGCAGCACGGACCTCAGGGCCCCCGTTTCCTGGTTGATGAGGAGGAGAATAAATGTGGTTGGCCTCAAAAGCAAGCCCACAGTCTTAGGTGTGGGCCTACGGGGCGTGCTGCATGTTGATCCCTTAATTCTGAAATGGGCCACGTCCCAGAGGTGTGGACATGAAGACATTTAAGCAGCCCAGAACCAGATGGACACAGGGACCAATGAACAACCACAGACACGAAACCCTGGACTCTGAGAAGGTGGACCCGTTCCCACATCAAAGACCCAGCGCTCACGCACCCCCGTCTCCCCCCCCCGCCCCTCCCCAGGGAGCAGCACTCAAACCAAACACAGAGGCGGCTCTTGGCCTAACACGGGCCCCTCCACCTCGGCACCGGTGGCATTTGGGGCCTGATAGCCCTTGGGGGTGGGGCCATGCTGTTCACTGCAGGCTGCTGGGCAGCACCTCCGCCCTCCACCCCCAGGCCAGAGCAGTTCTTCCCTCCAATAATGGGACAACCAAAAACTGTCTCCAAACATCGGCAAAAGTCCCAGGGTGAATCACTCCTCCCCTCCTGGGCTGGCAGTCAGAGGAGTTGACTCTCTTCCCAGCCCCGCGTGACCAGTTTAACTGTGAAATAACAGAAACCGCTCCCTTCCTTTCTTCCCGCACCCACGGAGCCCCGGTGAGGACTGAGGCAGCCGCTGTCCTGAAGGGGCCTGGGCTCAGGGCACGACCGAGAACTGCGGCGGCCACGAGAGTCGCAGCTCTCCGGGGTTTTCTGTGAGCTGCGAGTCTTCGGTGACTTCAAAAGCGCTTTGCCATTAATAATTACAACGGCAAAACCTCATCTGAGGATGCTCCAGCCCCGAAGACCTTTTTTACAGCCACTTTCTCTGTGAGGAGCTGCCCTCAGGCTGGGGCGCGGCGGGCTCTCCAAGCACAAGGTGGAACGCTCACCCGTCCCGCCCAGATAAAAAGAAAGAGGAGAGAGAGGGCAGAGAAAGTCACTCAGTGTGCACACACATGCCCTGCGGCGGGGGCAGAAAAACAAACCAGCCGTTGCCAGGGGCAGCTGAGAGACCCTCTCGGACGTCTGTGCAAATTCAAGAGCCGGGAGGAGGGGAGGGGTCGCGACGTGCAGAGTCTAACGTGCTCGATCCACGTCGGCGAGCGGGGGGGAAGCGGGCCCAGGAATGGAAATTCACAAGGGCGATCTGACCTTGCACAGAGCCACATAATTAAATGATAAAACAATAATCTGGAAATACTACGCTTAGACCCGTCCTTTCAAAACTACCCCCGAATCAGATGATGCAAAGAAAAGCCTCAGAACCACAGTGTAAACAAAGCAAACCAAAACACAGGGAGAAAAAAAAAAAAAACCACTCTTTCCAGCAAATAATAAACACATGGGTTATACAGACAAATGAACAAAGAATATGAGCGGGCATTTCACAGAAGGGACAGATGACTTAGGAAGCAGACACAGGAGCCGGGCCAGCCCCGGAGTCAGCAGCACACAGAGCCCGCGGGGCTGGGCGCAGGGCTGGAGGGAGTTGCAGAAATCACTGAGGCAGGAATCCTCCCAGCCTGTTACAACGACAGTCCCTGCCATATCCCGGGATAAAGGAAATGATACAGTGACTAGCTGTGAGCATTAATTAACACAGATCTCTCAGTGTTCTACAGCTTAGAAACGGGCGCCACCTCCGCAGCCCACGGACTCGGGCTGGCAGAACACAGGGCGGAGGGAGCGAGACGTCAGTTCGATGGAGCACTGTGGACGAGCCAAGCGACATCGTGGAAACCATGTAGCAAGTAGAGAACAGTCACAACGGTAAGGAGAAAACAGCATACAAAATACATTTGCCACCATTTATAATAATGCACATATTTCCTTCTGTTCTTACATGTATATATATACACACACATATATATATAAATACCGGGAGGAATCAGACTAAAATGCTAACAGTGATTTTGGAGGAATTAAATGATTTTTCCCTTGTTCCCATTTTTAAGGCTATGTTACATTTTATAAATTTAGTATTTTTTTTCCTAATAGCGCTGAAATAAATAACACAGTCCACACTCCACTGGTACCTTCCCTTCCAACACCCCTCGGCCCTCAGTGGCCAGGGCGCCGAGAGTGGGAGGGGAGGCTTCGCTTTGAAGCCAACACGGGGGCGGATGCCAGGGAGGTGGGTTGGGTTTTACATTAACGAGGAGAAGCTCAAAGTGGCTGTTTCTCCCCATTTCTCTTAATGTTTCCCCAAATTCAGCCTACGCTGGGAACAAACACGCCACTTCTGTAGGAGCGAGAGCTGCACACAAACACGACGACTGGGGCTCGCCGAGCCCAGCGGTCCGGGCCAGGCAGTTGACATCGGCCTTTTGGGCTCCGTCTCGTCCCTCCACCCTGCACTTCCTAACTCCAACTCGCAGACCAGGCGTCCGCGGAGCCCGGGGCCACGGCCTGCGAGTAAGTGCCCCCGGCCGGGGCTGCCATGCGCTGGGGGTCGCACACTGCCCCGCGGGACCCGGTGTCCGCTCGCCTGGGCCGTGCTTGGCGGGAGGCGGGTGGACAGTGGCCTGTGACTGCAGGGCCCTGGGCAAGGGGGAGGCAGGAGTCTGCATCACGGCACCGAGGAGTGGGGGCAGCACTGACCTCGTATATGAAGTACACCTTGGCCCCCACGTATATTCCCATGCGCACCACGGCGCGGACGGCGGCGTTCATACCTGCGAAGGGAACAGGGACAACGGTTACTGAGGAGCCTCGGGGAATTCTGGCTCTGCCACCCTCTCGCCGTGACTGTGGGTAAACTGCATAACCTCCCAGCCTCGGTTTCCCAATATGAGAAATGGGTGCCACACGTGCCTCTAGGATTGGGGTGAGGATGAGGAGAAACAGAGCAGAGCGGGGTGCCCTGCAGGCCGAGGGGCCAGCCTAGGAGAGCCCGGGGGGCTTTCGGTTCAGAACGGCACCGCCTGGACTTGGTATGGATGTGTAGGCAACGCCATCCGACCACAACGTGACACAGGGGACAGGCGTTTTTAAATAGCCAAATTCTGTGTCTGTGATGTGAGGAGACGCAAAATGGACTATTTCATCACCGGCTACGGGTTGGGCGGGGGTGGGGGGACCCTAGGCAATGGGCTTAAATACAAGATAGATCACGTGATTTTGTGAGAAGAAAAATTAAACTGGCATCCTATAAACAGTCATACCTAATCCAGGTAAATCGGGAAATTTCCCCCACTTTATTTAAAAGAAATTAAGAGCAGCATTATGCAAAGTATCATCATATAGGTCTGTGAGACTCGATTTCGCTGTCCGCTGAAGCCCACCCTGGGCAGCGGAACACTTATCTGAATGGCCGTAGCCTCCTAGAGCCACGTCCAGGCCACGCGGAAGGAAAGGCAGTTTGAGGGTCTTTCACCCGACGCTTCTGCTACTGTTCTTAGTCATAGTTCAGGTGTCCTGGGGCTAATGCATTTTGTTGGGGTAGCCTGACCTGGGAATCAGACACCTTTCCTCAGTGTCCCTGTGGACAGAATGCAATCCTCCTGCCAAGCAGAAATGTTAGCATTTGGAAAGGAACCTCTTCACAATTTGCAAAAGTCTAAACCCCAGTCCTCAGGAAAGGACTGACCTTGTTATGAGAACCAAAAATGAACTTTCGGACAGTCGGGGAGCAGTTAAGTAGGAAATATGCGATAATTACTCAAAGTGCAATAGAAAAGACAGGTCATTAAACCGTTTTCTCGATATCACTTGATACCAGCCGTATTCTACAACAGCTTCTCACTCACTACAGGGCAGGGAAGAAAGACCGTCCCAGGACAGCTTCCTCCTTGAGCTCAGAGCATCTTCCACGGCCCCCAGCAGCGCCTAGAAAGTGCGGGGCGAATCCTTACTGACCACTCTGGGGCGGGTTCTCGTTTGCAAACGCCTCCTGAGATTCTGTGCTGATAACATTTAAATTGTAATTTTTTTCAAAAACAAGGAATATATTGATGCTAATGCAATGGTTTGGGTGGATCCTTTTATCTCCTATGTTGTCTGGAGAATGTCAAATCTCCCCCTTAACCACTTTTGACTGCACTGAAGCCTTTTTTCCTGCATGTTCCTGGTACTCATAACCACTCGAGCACTAATTTCAATATTTAAATTCCCTTTTGATAAATGAAGTCAGGTTGCTCACTGCTCATGCTGGTTTGTCAGAAAGTGAATGTCAAACCCACCCTCTTGTACTCTTGCTACTGGGGTCCTTCCTACGGCTCTCTCTGGTGACCCTGGGACGGGGAGGTGGGAATCCAAAGAGAATTCTGTCGGGGGGCTGGCACCCCAGGTCCAAGTCCTCGTGGGCTGCCCGGGCCAGGGTGTCTTGGATTGAGGTCAGGTGGAACTTGAAATAAATCTGCGGGGGGGGGGTCCTCCCTCAACCATGCGTCCACCACCCCAACATGAGGACTGAGCGTCCGCTCTGGGCCACACGCTGGGGCAGGACGCCACTGACAAAGCGGAACTGTGACAATAATTCAATCACACCCAAAGGCAGAAGGTTCCAAGAGCTAAGGAGAAAGTAATGGGCGGGGCAGAGGGTGCGGCTGCCTCCGTCTGTCCGTCCATCCGACCTTGGAGCCGGCCTCCCTGAAGAGTGACATCTGAGGACAGGCGGGAGGAAGGTGGGGAGGTTCACAAATGGACATCTGGAAAAAGCACTCGGGCAAGCAGGGGCCTGAGGCTGGAGCGTGGTATCTTGCTGCACTCCAGCGGGGGCTGCAGGAGCCTGGACAGCGGCAGCTGCCCCTGAACATCACTCTGAGCCTCCACACAAACACTCGCACAGGGACCTTCTAAATATAGGCAGCGACACGACAGCCATCGCTGTGACCACGCAGCCCCGTGGCGTAGCCACCGGCCACCTATGTCTCCGCCAAACGGAGATGAGCTGTCTGTGTGCACAGGATTTCAAAGACTTAGTGGGGGAAAAAAGGATGTAAAATATCTTATTAATAATCAAGACAATAATTGATTATGTATTAAAATAGTGGGTTGAATCAAATATAATTATGTTAATTTCACCTTGTTGCTTTCACTTTTTTTAAAATGTGGTCCCTAGATCATGTGACACTCCATACAGATCGCAGGGTACCGAGGCAGCCCTCTCCCGCTGGGCAGAGGTACCTTCGAATCTACTCTTTAAAACCGTCCTTGATGTACCGAGTACATCTTGTCCCAGCGACCAACACAAAGCTCCTCATTAAACGCTGGTAAAAATCCACTCCAGATGCCACAATGTAATTAATTTCCTGTTGATGTTTTTTTGCAGGTTTTTCCACTTCTTGCTATTACAAGCACTGCTATAAAGAATACCCTTTGACCGACCTACCTGTATCCGGCTCTGTGCTACGTGCTCAGTCTTCCTCGCTGCTGCACTGGGTGAGCTCCCACCCACCCCACACCCTGCCCCACTTGGGGCCCCTGTCCACCCGCGGGGGGCGCCTGTGGGTACCCAGCATCCTGCAGCCCCCCGGGACCCTCCATCTGTGGCCCAATCCTGCTCGAGAGACCCCTCCCCCTTCCCCACGCGTGTCCCTTATCAGAGGTAGCCGGTAACCCGCACCTGGCCTCCCAGTTCACAGGTAAATCCAAAGTCCTCCCTGCCTCCGGCTGCTCCCGGAGCAGGTCCGAGGTCCCTGACCAGGGTCTCCCTGGGCCCCGCCATAGGACAGGAGCTCTTCCTCCCAGCCCAGCTGCAATGCAGCCTGCCCGCCCCCTCCCGGAAGGAAGAGGCCCCGCTCTGTGCCCAAAGCCTGCTTTGGCACGCGGAAGGCATTGAACACGTGGAAGGGTCGCAAACACGGAAACAAGATCTCACCAATATTAAACCAGGGCTGACAAAGGAAGGATGAATGACGACCTGAGGTTACTATATTCCACCCTCCCTGTCATTTCTCATCAGAAAACTTCTGATCGCACCACTTACGTTTTTAGATAGGGGTTCCTATGTTAATGCATCTTCTCAGTTGAAATTCTGGCCAAAGTCAGAAAACGATCACATGGGACTATGGGATGGTCTTATCTTGGAGAAACGTCCAAGGAGCTGATCTGCCTGGGTTTGCCAACCGCCCCATGGACCCCAGCTCGGTGTGGCACACGGCCCCCCAGGGGACAGGTCCCCAGGTGGCTCCAGGCACACTAAGGACAGGGATGGGCTGGCAGGGGCCCGGGGCAGTCCTGCCTTTTCTCTTTTGCCTGGAGACTTTCACTGAGGCCAAGTGCCCGGGAGGAGGGGAGGGGGGAGAGGAGATGGGCCCAGCGACGCCTTCATTCTGCAAAGGAAAACAACCAGGACCCCATCGGGCCACTTGAGATAGCAGAGCCAGGAAGCAGGACCTATAAATAAGTCTCCGAGTCTCAGTGTTCTGTTCTGCCATGTGTCCTGACAAGCACAATGACTGTAATTCCCAGCAAACGGCTGGGTGGTGAGGACGCAGAGAACAGAGGAGCGGGGCACACGCTTTGGAAAAAATAAAAACACAATGCAAGACAGAGCTTGCTGAGAAGAGTAACTCACAGAGGGACTGGACTCCCTCCTGGCACAGAGCCGTGGGTTCCTTATCCAAATGCATGTTTGCACTATCGCCACAATGGCAGCGGACTTCCAACTTGGCACCTGGTGTTCTCCACGACCCTGTGCTGCCTTATCTTCATCTTCCCAACTCTAACTGCTTCCAACGGCCCATCAGATGGGCAGAGCTCATTCGAATAGCCCCAATTCTCCCTGATAAAAGGTTGAAGCCCTCCATCAAAAGCTTTAGTTTTCCATAACCAAGGGGGGAAACATGTTTTCCTGGAAAGATGACAAAATGTGTAGCTGCTAAGGGTCATCTGACTATGTCATACAAAGCTATTTGCATTCATAGAAAATGATGCAATTTCACCAGCCTACCCTTGTACGATGGGGTTACACCGTAAATCTAACACGCTCCCTCCTAGACGCAATGATGTTTGCTAAATTAATTATGTTTTAAACTGAAAAGATCCCATTAAAGAACACAGATGCAGAGGTCCAGGATGGTGTGTGGGCCAAGAGGCCCGCTGTTCCCAGTGTCCCTCTGCGCCTTGCTGGGCTCTGAGGCCAGCAGAGCTCCAGGCCCCGAAGGAGCCCACGCAAGACTCTAACTTGGTGTTTGATAAACTCGTGTGAAATGGAAGCATCAACTTAGCACCTGGGTCAGGCCTTCCGGAACCTCACGCTGCTGACTATAAAGTTCTAACATTGAAGTATTAACATTGCTCTGAAGACAAGACACTTTTTATCAGGACGGCAGCTAGAACTCGTAGTCACCTGCCACTTCGCCAGTGGAGATTCCAGGCAGAGGACAGCCAACAGCCATTTGAGTCCCTGCCAAGCACGCCGGGAACACGCTGGTGAACACACACAGGTGCCCATGGGCCCTGGGCCCGGCCCTACCTCTGAGCCCTGTGAACTCAGGGAAGGCAGCTCCTCTCAGCTTCACCTGCTCAGTGAAAAGTGGGAATAAATGATTAATAGTATCCGGGAGCACTTAGCGCCTGCCACGTAACCAGGGGCCCATAGACACTAGCTGTTCCCATCGTGCCTGGAAAGACTTCTACGTACTCAATTCACGTGGACTTTCCGTAAACGTGGTGTGGCCGTCCACCTCGCCACACGCAGAAAGGACTCGACTTCCAAATTCCGCCTACCCTGCGGATGCACCCTCAGCTCCGCCAGGCACAGGCCCTGAAGAGGCCACAGCCTGTGACTAAGGCAGTGATTCATTTTTGGGGAGGGCGTGGGTACTTAGTCATGGCAAGTTTGTCCATCCAGCCCAGCGGTGTGGAATCATTTCAGGTCAAAGTGAAAATCAATTTCAATGTGCAGACATTTCTAGCGACAGTAGAAGATACCCAAAGAATGAGGAAAAATAAAAAAATAGCCTCAGATTATTCTCTTCCTTAGTTTGGGGGCTGGAGAGTCAGGAATACAGATGGGAGATTTTCAGTTTTATTTTATAATTAAGTTATAAATTCCTCTGGGGTTAAAAAGCACTCCATCCCACTGGATCAAGTGTTACACCATTTTTGCTGCCTTGTTTGCTATCACTATAAAAAGGTGTTTTCTGTTCCACCGACAAAGCCGCTGTATAATTATCTGCATGATTTTGAGCAAGTTGGGTTTTGCTCACTTTTGAGCACCAACTAGATGATACAGCCCGTCCAACATGGTCTGGCGGACGGCGCGGCGTTTGGGATTAAGAGCTGGCAGAGCCTGGCTTAAATCCTGCCACAACCACGCTTGAGCCTCCTGGCTTTACCTAAGCGACATCTCCCTGGGGGTCTTTCTCCCTCCTCCAAAACGAAGAAACACGTATCTTGCGGCCGTGTCGTTAGGCCTGGAGGTGGGAATTGAAAAGCTCCTAGTGCCTAAGTGCTCTCAGTAAAGAGTAGCTCCAGCCATCTGGACGGAGAATGGTACCACAGTTTCCTACCAGATTAGAAAATCACCCTAAAATTGAAGTCCTGAATTCATTCTCCTTGATCTCCAGCTACAAGCAAAATTCTTCTATCTTGGGGGCGGGGGGGAATCAAGTACCGAAATAATGTAGAACCATGATAAAGTGGTGAGAGAGTGGGGGTCTGACAGACGACATCTGGAGCCGATAACCTGCTCTAAGGATCTGCTCAGCTGCCGCCAAGACCAGGCCCTCTGCGCACATCTGGACGTGAACTTCCTCAGGAAGAGACGCCTCCAAACGCTCACGCGAGCTCAAGACAGTCTCGCAGCGGGGTGGGGCTGTTCACATGGAGTCAGTGGCTTCAGCTCTGTCCAAGGGACACCGCCCAGACAACAGGCCAAGGCGCGTCCCCAGGACAGCCCAGATGTGGCGCTTGTGGGCCTGACTGGATGCCACCTGCAGAGCTAAGAGCAGCCGCCTCTGATGGACCAGAGGCTGCGCCATCCAGGCCACGCTCTCCCGTAACCCTGGCTTTCAAAGTATCCTTTTCCAGGAAGACGGGGGCATGGACTTCCCAACCTTGGATGTGCACGGTGGCTCCTCACAAGCGGCAGCTCCGGGATAAGGAACAGAGAAACGGTGACTGCGCCGAACCACGGTGATCTCACCCGCCTGTACACCAACCGCCAAATATTTTAGCAGACTTTTGCACGGGGAGCTCAAAGAATGACCCATGAACCTGTTTCCAACAATACAGCGCCTTAATTCTAAAATAACCTTGACGCCCCGACCTTCCAGCCCTGCTGACCGACAGAGGTCAGTTCCCCTTCCTGTGCCAACGGCTCCTTCTCCTTCGGGGCGCAGGGCGGGTCACCAAGGCGCTTCCCCAGCTCCAGAAGCCCTTTGGGAAGTCACGCCCGGTCCCACCCTGACCCCAGACGACCCTCTTCATACAGGCTCATCCTCGGGCAAGTTTAAGTAAGGCGGGCCACGCCATTTCCATTTCAGTTTCCTACTTGTTCACTCCCAGCCTTTGCTACGTCACGTATTCTGAGAAACCAGCACCCCACGAGGCACGCTTGTCCTGGGAACGTTTTACTAGATACTAACGCTGGAGTCACCCTGCTTCCCTGGACGGCGGGCCTGCGGCGCGGGGCGGCGACGCGACCAGGGTGTCCCCGGGACCCGGCAGGGCGGCTTCCCGGCCCCGGGGCCCGCGCTGCTCTCGGGGGGACTCTGCGTCGCGCACCGGAGTGGGGCCCCCCAGGCGCACCGTGAGCGACGGGCTGGGCATCACGTACGCGCCCGTGGCGGGCGGGGCGGCGCCCAAAGCGCCCCAACCTGCTGCCCCCGCGCCGCCCCGCCCGCTCAAGGGCACGGGGAAGGTCACCGGCAGAGTGGGCAGAACTTGAGGGCATCGGGCCGATCCTGGGATCATCCCTTTTCGGTGTGCTGTCCCGAAACGCGAGGAAAGGAGGCACCGGGCTGCCAACCCATCTCGGGCAGGGGGAACAGGGGAGAATCAAAGTCAACCCCGCTCAGCTGGGGAACGTGTCTGCAGCCGGCGCACTGCGTAAGGCTCCAGGGCCGAACGTGCCCGGGAAGCGCCGGTCTCCTGCCGAGCGGCTGGCTCTGCCCCAACCGGGGATTTACGCCGACCGGGAAACCCCACCGTCTGCGAACCCCGGCGCCCCCACGTGCACCCAGGGCTGCAGCCCGGGCGCCCCCTCTTCTAAATTTTAAATATTCTCCCAGCGCGTCCGGGGGTCCCGGCTTGGCCCCTTCCTCCTGGAGATCAGCCTCGCGTTGCAGGGGAGGGGGGAGCCCGGAGCGCGCGCGCGGGCGCCGGTGACGTCCCCGAGGCTGGCGGGGAGGCCCGCTGACCCATTTTAGTTTTCGGTTTTGTCACGAGCCGGAAGGCGACAGGAGGTAAGGGCGGAGGAAAGCCTCTTTCAAACCTCCCGGCGGAAACGCGAGGCGCTGCCGGGCCGCCGGGGCAGCCCCGGGCGGGGACCCCGCGCTCCGGACCCCGCGCGCCGCAGTGCAGACGCGGGGACCCGCCCGCGCGGGGGACGCGAGGAGGCGGCAGGCGCCGCGGGGACCCAGCCGTTTCTCTACGACATTTCAGGGGCGGGGCGGGAAGACCGGGCTGGGGCTGTGGCCTCGGAAGTGCCGCGCGGTGCCTAAACCCGCAGCCGCCCCTGCCGGGGTCCAGGTGCCCACGAGCTCCGGGCGGCCCCGCCGTGCGTCTCAATTAGAAAAATAAACGTGGAGGCAGAAAACTCGCTGGTCTTCCTGATGCAGAATCCTAACGCCGATTCCCTGCTCCCCGCACCCCCCGTCCCTCCCCGCAGCCGCGCCCCGGTCCCGTCCCCCCACCCCGCCGCGCCCCGCGCCCCGGGCCGAGGCGGGCGGCCGCACCTTGGGCATCCCCGCCGCTGGTCAGCACGCCGATGGCCTTGCCGGCGCCGGAGAGGTTCTCCAGGAACTTCCGCAGGGAGCCCTTGGTGGTGGGGGAGGCGGCGTCGTCCATGGCGAGCAGGCCGAGGGTGCCGGCTCCCCGGGGCGCAGCAGGCAGTGAGGACCCGGCCCGCGCGCCCGACTCGGAACCGCCGCCCGGCTGCGCCCCCGCCCGGCCCCAGCGCCAATGGGCGGCGGCGGGCGGGGCCCGTGCGCGCGGGCGGAGGCGCGGGAGGGCGGGGCGCTGAGCTTGGGGGGCGCTGGAGGTGGGGTTGGCGCCTCCAGCGGGGGCTGCGGGGAGCATCGCTGGGGGAGGCGCGAGCAGGCGGGCTCTCTTGTGTTGGGGGCTTCAGGGCGGGGTGAAGGGGGGCGTGCTGCAGGTGGGGGCTGGAGAGGGAGGCTTAGAGCCGCAGGTGCGTGTGGGGGGGTGCAGGGGGCAACGCTTGGGGACGCAGGAGGGCGGGATTTCGTCGGTTGGGCGGGGTGGACTAGGGTGCTCGCAGGCGGGGCGCAGACCCACGGAGACACCCCCTCTCCCGCGCGGCCACTCTGGCGGTTGGAGACCGAGGAGGCAGAGTCGCGCGCCGGGCTGGGCGCAGGGTTCCCCCTGGGGGCAGCTCTCTTGGAGCAGCTTGGGGGGAGATGGGTGGGGGAGTCGCCGGGGTGGCTTCCTGCCGCCTAACCACCCCGCAGGTTTCCCCTGCGCCCGGGGTCCGGGAGGAAGAACGGAGAGCGGGTCCTCCGCTCCGGGGAACAGCGGGCGCGGAGGGCTGAGCGGTAACGGAGCCCTTGTTGGCGCTCCCGGCCCGGCCCAGCCCCGCACTGGGGGGCGAGGAGGCGTTGCGGGTGGGAGGGTGTCGCTCCACCCTGGCAGACATCCTCGTGCCAGGCCTGGGAGCTGAGGCAGGCGGGAGGGGCGCGGCGGGGCGCTGGGACAGCTTTCCTGCGCGAGGACGCCCGCGCGCCTGGACCGGCAGCCGGACCTCCGGGGGCTCCGCTGGGAAGCTGCAAGTCCAATATGCCCGGTGACTGATCATCACGGCCAGTCGCCGTGCTGTGCTGCAGGGGCGCGTCCCCCACCGGGAGCCCGGGCCTAGCAGGCACCCAGGCCTTTCAGAAGTCATCTGGGAAAGGAGGGAGGGCGCAGGCCGGAGTCCACCTCCTGTGCAACCAGTGCTCCTAGAACAGACAAAAGACGGGAAGGGAGACCAAGAAAAGGCCTGTTCTGTCAGCCAGAGAAGTCTGCCCTCTGCCCCAGCAACACGAAGGGGCTACTTACTTTAGGGCTATCCTGGGCAGGAGACGAGGTACACAAAGCCGTGTTGGACGCGTGCCGCCGCCTCCTCCGGCCCAGCGCTCTGATCATCAAAAATTTATTGCAAAAGAGAAACAATATCAGCTGTAGACAAGGCCGGGTGCTCTGATCTCCACCCTACCCAGAATTAATGGAGCAGTTCCCAGCCCGCAACATGCTGGAAATCACCTGCACAGCCCCCGCCCCCAGCCACTCAAGCCTGGGGTCTGGGAGCGCAGCCAGGTGAGCTGTGTTTTTAACAAGCCCCGGGTTATTCTGATGAGTCAGAGCCCGAGAGCCACAGCTCTAATGGAAGCAGCCTGAGCATCATTGTTCTAGCAAGAGAGGAGAGGGCCGGGCGCAGAGGGGGGCCTTTACCTTCCCAGGCAGGAGGGCAGGGCCAGGCTCAAAGAGCCACCCCCCCCAAGTGGCCCACAGCCAGGATTTGTGCAAGAAAACAGGAGGGCTACCCCGTCCTGCCTTTCTGGACCAAATGACACTTCAATTTGGTGCACACAATTCAAATCCCTTTATCTTCTTATAAAATTAATATTTTTATAATTTAAAATCAGGGAATCGGTCATCTGTCGTCAAATTGTAACACAGAACATGATAGATACAAACTAGCAGTTCAAACATGACGTAAGTGAAATAAATTATGAGTGAAAAGATACACTGGAATAGCATCCAATTGCTGTTACAAGTACGGCAATAAATACCTATCGATAGGGAAATATGTTCAGGGCATTGAAGTAAAAAGGCAGCTTGGTGTGAGTGCGTGCCTATAGATGTAAACGCAGCTGGGTATTTTATTTCCTTCCTTTTGCTTATTATGGGTAATATAATTTTTTTCTCCCATGAACAAGTATTGTTTGGGAAATAATACGAACATCAACTGAACATTTCTGTAATTAACAGTGTTACATCAGAGAATGTGGAGAGAGACTGTTCTCTAGTGAAAAATAATTGGTGTTCACCTGTAGTCCCAGCCACTCGGGAGGCTGAGGCGGGAGGATCGCTTGGGCCCAGGAGCTGGAGGCTGCTGTGAGCTGTGATGACACCACTGCGCTCTTCTCAGGGTGACAGAACGAGACTCTGTCTCAAAAAAAAAAAATGTTATACATAAATTTCCCATTTAGAAAAAGAAAGCATGATTTTAGCATTGTTAGAATCAGGTAATTTAGTTATAAAATGCTGCCTCTGAATATTGATTTGCAGGTGTCTTCCATAGACCTGGGACCTGTGTCGGCAGGTGCAGGCTTGAGTTAATAATTACTCGTTCTCGAAACTCCTTTGCCGCCAGCTGGGCACTGAAGAGGCTCACGGCGGAGGCGTCCGAGGGCAAACTCGCTGAAATGTTTGAAACCGAGCCGTGAATGGTAACGCTCGTCTGACTCGCCGACAGGCACACCCAGGGCTGCGTCCCTGTGTTAGCAGGGCACGCGGTGTCCAGCAGGAGGCTTTACCTTTTTTGGGTATAAACTTTGAGATTCTGATATAAGCCACAGGGCCTCTTCCTCTGCCTAAAAGCAGGCACAACCACGCGTGGCATGGTTTGGAGAACTCGTGGGCCTGGGCTGGTCCCCCTGCATGAGGAGGGCGAGTCTGGCCCTCCAGGGACGCAGTGCAGGTGGGGGGCACAGCCGTGGTCCCACGCTGAGGGGCAGACAGCTCTGCACTCCCGGGAGGGCCCAGGATGCTCTTATCTTAAAAGTCCAAGCCCAGAGCCGGTGGTCTCTGTGCCCAGGGCAGCCTGACTCAGCAGGGTAGGGTGTTGCTTCTGCGTCCTGGGCCTGCGTGGGGGGGGCAGAACTTGCCGCTTATTCATGCCCCCGCCTTTGCAATGCCCTTTCGAAGTGTCCTCACTTCAAAGCTTCGGGTGTTTAGACGGCTGACCCCTGCGCAGCACTGGCCTGAGCCTCGCATGTGTCCGCCTACGTGTGATTTTCTTCCCACTCTGTACCCCTGAGACAGCAAGACCAGCCCTCCTCTGCCTCCTCCCGAACCTTCATGTAAGCTGGAAATAAAACCCTAAGTCCCCCACCAACTGAATGCACCCCTCTTGGCAAAGGCAACCCCAGAGAAACCTCAAAGACTGAGTTCATGGCCACGGTGGGCGGGGTGGTGGGACGCAGCTCCTTATACCCGCTCCCGTCCGGAGTTCAGACCTCACAGCTGACCAGCGTTCGTGTTAAAATAGCGTAAGACTGACAGACGGGCTCCTCGTGGCAGTGAGGTGCCAAGCTATAAACAAGACCCGAGGCTGTGCCATGCCAGGGTTAAGGCTGCCGGCCACGGATCTCGCTGACCCAGACCCTTTGACCCGCTCTGACTGCGTCCTTGTCTTAACTTAAACATTCCTTTCTGCTGACGCCAAGTTGTAGACAAAGCTTCCTTCCTTTAACAAACTGCAAATTAACCTCTGAACCCACCTGTGACCTCTAGGCCTCTGCTTCACGATATCCCGCCTTTCCGGCCGTGAACAGGCACTGGAAGTATCACAGCTTTTGGACACCATAACGCGCACCGGGGCGGTTAGAGGCTGTGGGGTATTTTGCCTTCGTTCCTCCCCGTGTGGCGTCGTGGGTCCACCGCGCAGGTGAGCTTACCTGCCTGCAGGCTCCTGCCAGGAGAAAGGGTCGACCTTCCCACGTGTGAGCCGCCACCCGCTGCAGCCTTCTGTCTGTGCAGCCCACCCCGTGTGACTGGCGCGGACCTACTTATATGTCATGGCACCTTCTCTAACCTCTCGGGGAACTGCGTCCTCCAGAAACCCAGAGAGAGCTGGAAGGGGCTTTTAGGATCACGGAATCCACCCTCCTCATTTGGTAAAGAGGACAAAGGCTCGAGGAGGGTGTGCTGGCTGAGGCCACGCCATGGTTGGGTCTGATCCTTGCACAGGGGAGGGGGCTTCGGACACACATGAAAAAAATTAAATATTGGCATCCAAGCTCACGCTGGAAGACCTCACGAGCATGATTCAAACTGAAGGGTACCAGGTGGGCGCCAGCTTCACCTCCACCCCATTTGAACATAAATCCTTCTGAGCCCACGCTACAGCTCTGCGGGGAAAACTTGTCACCAATCCCCAGGGCCACCAAGCCGCAGGGTCCATGTCCCCCCCATCCGGCACCGCCTTCCCTCCTGTTTCCATTCGCAGCGTGGCTTTTACTCTTAAACGCTGAGATCTCGGGCTGTGATCTCATTTTAGGGGGGTGGCCTTAGGTTTCCTTTCTCATGCCCGTGCTCTGAGCAGCTGTCCAAACAGACAAAACTTTCCGGTAAGAACGGGCTTTGGTTCCTGCCAATCCTTTTTTATTGACTTCTGTTAATTCCATCCTGCAATGCCAGCTCAGTCATGCATTTACAACGACTTATTTTTGTAGGTTTCATCCAGCATTTTAGTTGATTTTGTTGGGAAAGATATTTAGTGTATCTTGCGTGCAAAGACGGAAGCTCCGGACACTTCGGATCTCTCTGTGCTCGGCGTCCTCCTTCCCCCGTCTTAGTGTTTCGGTCCACGCTCGCTTCGCCGCGGGCTCAGGACACCTGCCAAGTCTCCCGTGGAGTCCTCCCTCACATGCCTTCTTTCCCCGTAAGAAGGGGGGAGACGGTATTGATGTTAACAACAAAGACAAAATCATTCTGGGGGCAATGCAATTAGTTACATGGAAATACCAAAATACTTTGGTGAGTTATTAGAATTAATGAAACTCAATTAAATGTTACTACTCAAAATAAGCACCACTTCTGCGCGCCAGTAGGAACCAGACTGAGTGGAGAGAGCGCACGCAAGCAGCCCCGGCCCTGCAGAACGGGGAGGTCCCGGGGCCTGGACGGGGAACAAGCCCCATTTAGCTCAGTTCCTCACTTGACCTGTCTCTTGGCGGGAACTC